GTGGTGTGTGTCGTGAGAGGAGAGAGAGAGAGAGAGAGAGAGAGAGAGAGAGAGAGGAGGGTCGGTAGCTCGCGTATGTAACATACTATCTTGAATATGCGCATACATCGAGAATTGCCCGCTTATTCCGAGAATTGGTTAGGCGATCGAATGCGCGGGAGCTGCCCGTCTTCCCGTAATTATCCCTCTTCTCCTTCTTCCTTCCTTTCTCTCGCGCGCCTTCCTTGCCCCTCTCCTCCCCCCCCCTCTTCGCAACAACGTTCCGTCGTTCCTCTCTCCTTTTCTTCGCAATTTTCCAACGAAACGCGACCTCTCGAGGCGAAACGACCAACGAACCGCGGAGGGGGGGAGGGAGGGGAGGGGAAGGCCGATAAGTTTAGAAATTGCGATCGAACCGTGTACGTACGCACGAAACCCTGTATCCCTGGCAGATATACGCGCGGGGTTGGCTATAATCGATGATAACAGTGTTTGTTGCATCCGGGGAAGCGGCAAAGTTTCGGGGAAACGCTTCTTGCTAAATTGTCTCCGTTTCCGGAGAGCGGAGAAAGAGAGAGAGAGAGAGAGAGAGAGTTTGGATTCGACATTGGCGACACGTGACGCGCGAGCGAACGCAACGCCCTCTCTCCATTTTCCACGAAAATGAAACTAGGAGAAAGTCTGATGCAAAGCGAATTTGGACGAATAATAATAATAATACGTCAGAGACCTGCTATCCATCCAAACTGTATCCACGGCGAATAAGACGAGGGGGAGAAACAACGAGAAACGATCGCCTAATCCCTCGAAACGACCGGGATCGCGACATTAAGCGAAACCCTCGTCGTTTCTGACCGCTCGGATCGAAGATATTCCGACTGTGTACGAATGGAAGGAAAGAAGAAGAAAAAAAGAAAAGAAGAGAGAGAGGGGTGAAGAGATGGCCATGCATAACGTGTTAACATTTGCTTTATAGCGCGCCTGTATGTATATATATATATATATATATTCCAACAGTTACCTTTCTCGAAATCGAAATCGTTCGAGAATTGGCATCGGCGCAGCAGGCATCGAGATCGCAATTTTTAATAGGGCCCACGGGACGTTAATCCGGGCTAGTAATTTCGCTAGTGTAACGAAGCATTAGCACGCGCAAGTTTCTAGTTACGTTGGTTGGTACCGGTGGCGCTAGGTACGTGGGTACTTGCACGGACCATAATGCAAGCCCATTAAACGCTGGAATGACCCGTGGGCTTACAGGGCCACGCTACGAGATGTTAATACGAGAACTCCATCCCCCCTTCCTCCCCCTTACTTTCTTCCATTTGAACCACTACTCCTTTCTTTCGTTTCGTTTATATACTCGTGTCTCTTATCTCGTCTCTCTCTCTCTCTCTCTCTCTCTCTCAGTCAGGAACAAAAGTCGAACGACGACGCGTCGATAAGGTTGTAAAGTCAGCCTCCCAGTATTTCGAGTTACCGATAGATACTCACGATGACCACTTTTGGGACGCACCCAGGCTGAATTTATTTACGATATTACCCATCCCTCCCTTTACGTTAACGCATTCGCGTTAAGGTAAACTCGGGTTAAAGATAAACGGGCCGGTGAAAGGTAAAGGGAAACCGAGCAACGGTTCGAGAAACTGGATGGTGATCACGGTCCCGGGGCGTACGGATCTACGATCGATGCGATATAATTGCAACCTAACTGGAAATCCATCGTGATAAATGCGATCCTTTTGTTGTTGGCCGAAGGATAACGCGGCAAGTTTTCCCTTGGCTTAGTCGAGAACCTCTCCCCCCCCCCCCTCCCATTGTTGCCACGATACAACGCGAGCGTTGTACGTCATCGAGAGGGCGCGCACGAGAGAGAACGTGTTCGGGCAATTACTTTCGCGCGCCCTTTCGTTTCGAACGAATCGATCGATTTAAAATTATCGATGATAAGCCGATAAATCTTAACGGATGTGTGTGTGTGTGTGTGTGTATACAAAATACGCTTCTTACTTGGTGTAGAAAGCGTTGTTGCACTCGGAGCAGGCGAAACCGCGCTTCCGGCCGGAAGATCCGCCATCGGGCCATCCGGGCGACGACGACCCGGTGCACTCCCTCTGATGGGCGTTCAGGTCGGATCTCCTGGAGAAGGGGGCGAGGCACTTGGCGCACGGAAACGGCCTCTCCCCCGTGTGACTTCTGATGTGATTCCGCAACGACACTTTGGCGAACGCCCTCTTGCAAACGGGGCAGGGGTACTTGGCCAACGACTTGGCGGGGCCCGGTTTCTCCCCCTGGTCCGCCACGGGGCCGGCGTGGAGAGCCTCGTGGAAGATGAACTCCGCTTGGGAATCGGTCGAGAAACTGCACTCCCCGCACCTCCACCGCTCGCCCTCCTTCCTTTTCGCGACTCCACCCGATCCCCCCTCCTCCTCCTCGTGGCACTTGTTCTCCCTCGTGTGCCTGGTCACGTCCTGGGACAGGGCGAATAGCGTGCCGCACCTCGGACATCTGGAAAAGTGACGTTTTGCTCGCACCAACGAAATTACGCGTAGCTGATTATGTAATACAGTTGCGGTCAGAGGTTATAATCGTGCTGCGGTAATTTTTTTGGAAATATTTACGAATGCTTCGTGACTCGATTCGATGAATTCGATCGCGAGAAAGGAACGAATTAGGTAGATGGCAGCACGAATATTTGACTGGACAAAGAATTTGTGTAGAATACAAACCGATAAAAAAGATAATCGAATATTATGATACATACGCCTGTAACAAAGTTCGGGATGATTCAATGATTATTTGATCGACGAGAATTAGGTAGGTGGCAGCACGAACATTTATTATTTAATTTCAAAAGGATGACGATTTTGAAAATGCATCACGTACAAAGGGAAGGTGAACTTGTGCTGCGACACTATACTCGCCTGTAACAAAGTTCGGGATGCTGGTCGAGAAGATGCCTCTTATGATCCGACAGATTCGCCTGTTTCTTCTCGCAATGGGGACACTGCCGGCCGGTGGTCGGCGTGGAGCCGTCGTTGCTCTTCCGAGCCCTCACCACCTCCTTGTGGCTCGACGTTCTTCGATGCAGAACCGCTTGGCGGGCGGTGGCGAAATTCATCGAGCAAAAGGAGCAGAAATAGGGCGCGGGCCTATTCGCCGCCTCGTCGCCGATCACCGCCTCGCCGCCATCTTTCGCCATCTTGGCCGCGTGGCACGACAGCTGATGGCGTTGAAGCGCCACCAACGACCTGACCGTCCGCGGGCACAGGTCGCACCTCATCCGTTGCTGGTACTCGTCGCTCGCCGTCAAACCCACCTCGTGGCCCGTCTCCTTCGCGTGCATGCGAAGCTGCAAATTGTAACGGAAGCGGCGATCGCAACCGGGGCAGGGCAGGGCTCGTTGACGGCCGATCATCACCGGCACCGAGCCCCTCATCATCGAGACCACGTCTCGGTGGCCCGGATCGAGCAGGTGGGACTCCATAGCTTCGTTCTCCTCGCACCAAAAGTCGCACGGGGTGCATCTGTAGCTGCCGCTTATCTGAACAAGAATAGGGTACAAGAGTAGATATATATTTCTCTGTCATCATTTTGGCGCATCGTTTTTTTAAAAGTGTCAAAAGTGCTGAAAGTGTCTTTCGACACTTTTCTTCATCCTTTTCTTTCTGCCGAGAAGTCAACTCGGTTCAACTTTTTTCAAGACTCGAAAAAAAAAAGGGGGGGGGGAGAGATTTGGGGGATACCTGCTCGAGGGTTTTCGCGTGAAGCTCGGACCGCCAATGGCGCAGGAACGTTTCCTCCGTGTTGCAATAAAAGCGGCAGGAGAAACACTGGAAGGGGCACTGCCGAACCACATTCGCCATATTTTCCAGTAAAAAGCGACGCGCCCGTGGCCCGCGAGGATTTACGCCCGCCACGCGGCAGTGATAATGAGAGAGCAAATGCTTGCCCATTTGCGCCCTTCTCACCCGCGCGTGGCACATCTCGCAGGAAAGTATCTCCTTCTCCCGTCTGCGGCAACTTTTCTTAACGCCTCCCTTCGCCTCCGCCGCTTGCCCTTTCCCCTGCCTCTGTCGATCACGCCTCGATTAAATTTAACCGTTTTCGAACGAATTCTCGTTCTTCGAAAGAGAACGAACGAAGAGAAAAGAAGAAGAAGAAGAAAGGAGAAACGAAAAATAGATGGATTACTTGATGGATACGAGATTTTTTCGCGTTGACGGCTCGTGGCAGGCAAACAACGCCATCCATCTCTCGTATGCTCCTTCTAGCGTGCAAATCGGAGCGAAGATGCCTGTTGTAGACCAATCGAGAGGCAAGTTTCCTGCCGCAAGGGCTGCACCAATATCCCGCCTCGATATCCGTTCGCGCCCCCGGTATCCATTTCCCTCGCGTGTGCCCTTGCGGCGGCGGTTGTTGCTGCTGTTGTCCCTTGGCCCCTGCGTACTCCTCCCCTCCCTCCTCCTGCTCCCCCTTCTGAAAAAAAGAAGGAAGGGAAAAGGGAGATTTCGACCAGATCTCTCGATCAAACAATTTCCTCGAAACGTACCTGCTGATGGTGGTGGTGGTGGTGGTGGTGGTGGTGGTGGTGGTGCGAGGGTCGCCACTTGCCACCGGTGTGAGAGGGCGGCGGATGTTCTTGATGATGCTCGTCCTCGTCATCGTCCTGAAGTTGAGACATATTTTGAGGGAGATGGTCCAATCCCGGCTTCCATTTGCCACCGGTGTGGCCGCGCATCGAGGAACGCTCCCTTTCCTCGTCCGACTCCGTGTAAGAGGCGTCCTCCTCCCCCAAATCCAGCATATCGTCCACCGCCTCCTCCTCCTCCTCCTCCTCCGACTCTTCCTCCTCCTCTTCCTCCTCCTCGTCCTCCTCGTCCTCCTCCTCCTCCTCCTCCTGTTGATACTCGAACCCGTACCTGGCCAGATCCTTGCCAGCCGCCGCCTCGTTGTTCGCCACCAGCTCGGCGAGTATCGTGTCCTCGAGCCACGTTTGATGGACCTGCTGCTCCTCCTGCTGCCTCTTCCTCCCGGGATCCTGCTTCGCACCTACCACCTCGTGGGGGGCCGCCATCAGGCCCATCTCCAACGAGTTTTCCGCCTCGTGCTTCGTGGCGGTGGCCGCCCCGTGGCCCAATTTGTTGCGGCCGTGGGCCGCGGCCGGGGGCGGCTTGGCCGACGAGACGATGTCCGGGAAGCCGACGAGGGACGGGATGCAGAGGTAGTCGGTGTCGTCGAGCTCCGTGACAGGCGGCAGCATGTTGTGAATGTGCTGCTTCTCCTGCTTCTCCCCCTCCCCCTCCCCCTGGGCCCCCTTCTGGCCCCTCTTCCTCCTCTCCTCCCTCCTCGACTTCTTATCGTCGAGCAACGAGGCCGTCTTCCGGGTGTTCGTCTTCGAGCTGCTCTGCAGCTCCAACGAGCTGAAGAACGCGTCCGCGTTCAGTATCTCCGGGTAGGAGACGGGGGTGGTCGGGGAGGCGGGCGCCGCCGGTGAGACCCAAACGGCGACGTTCTTGTCGTCCGGCGGACGGCACCCCGATTGACGATGCCGCACGTAATTCTCCAACCCGTGTATCGTCAAATGGCACTTGATGCAGAAGTGGGTGTCGTCGTCCTCCTCGTAACTCTCCATCGGCCCTCCTGAAAACGTTACATGCCACGCCTTTTCGTCATTTTCCATCCGGTTGTTGGACGGACAATGGATTCGCGATCGAGAAAATTACAAGTCGGAGGTATCGTTCATCCGGCAATTCTTTCCTCGTCCATTATCTTGAGAACGAAAGGTATATTTTCGTGGATTTCGCAGAAATATTCCCTTTTATTATTATTTTCCATAAAGTTCGATTCGAAAGTTTTCGGATTTTCAATGCAGAAACAATGGATTCGCGATTGAGAAAATTAACGGAGATATCGTTCATCCGGCAATTCTTTCTTGAGTCGATTATCTTGAGATTATCTTTTATTATTATTTTCCATCGATTATTTTTCGGATCAACTTCGATTCGAAAATTCTCGGATGCATGGAATGCAGAAACAATGCATGGAGATCGTTTGAAACTTCTTGTATCATGTATTAAACGACACTCCTTGCGACTCCTTTTTTCGATTATTCTGAAAATGTATAGATATATATCTATATTCCTTTTGTAATTTTTCGATAGAGCGAAGGTACGAGTTCGAGAATTCTCGTATCGTTGACGGATCAATGCAGAAACAGTGTACGGGCAATGGATTGAGAAAATTAGAATGATTATCGAATATCCTCTTTTGTAATTTTCCATCGATTATCTTTAAAATACAGTGAAATGACAAAAAGAGAAGAGAATATCGTTTATTCGTTTCACTTTGTTCGTGTTTTAAATGACACTCCTTTTTCGCGTCTCTGAAAACCTGGATTAGAAGATTCTCCTATCATCGAATGGCATATAACGCGTCATCGTTCTTCTATAGATATGTATTCGATTCGTTTTGAAAAAATTAAAAACAAGATATTCGTCCAACGAATATCTTCGAAACTTGGGAAAGATGTATATCGTCGCGGACGAGAAGCGCGAGAAAACCAGAAAAGAATATCGTCATTCGTCCCACTTTGCCCGCACTTCGAAACTTCTCCTCTTATCATATAGAGATATATCTCTTCTTATATGGACTTCTTATATGAGGATTCGTCTCGAGGAAATTAAGAAAGAATACACGTTCGTTACGGGAATATCCAGTTTGTAATTTTCCCCGATCGATCCTATCCCGAAAACACACGGAATACTTCTTCCACAGATATTTGCGTATTTCGAGAGAATCAACACTTTGCCTACATCGTTTCCAACGAGAAAACGAGAAAATTCATCCAAAATTTCCAAAAAAATGTAATAAATACATCCTTAAACGTACGACCCTACGACCCTATCCCCGCGTAACGAGAAAAATGACAAGAATAAAACGTTGCTCGTCGAAATCGTTTATCTACCGAGGAGAGGAAGAACGAGAATAAAGGAAAAGAGAGAGAGAGAGAGAGAAAAGGATCCAAAGCCAAAGTATCCTTTTGTTCTCTCTCCCTCTTTCCTTCCCTCCACCCCTAAAGTCAGACGAACGACGAAAGAGGAGCGGAAACGGGGCGAGGAAGAGGAGGAGGAGGAAACGAGAGGAAGAATATCGATGGGACAATTGACGGACCGCGCGTATGGATTACGCGGCGCAAAGGGCAGCGCATCGCGCGCAAACCGGGCAAATTGAAGGTCCGATATTCGCGGAACAGAAGGGAACAAGTTGACGCTTCGCTCACGGGCGCCGGGGGGTAGGAAGATCGGTCGATGCCGCTTGGCCGTTATTCGGACGACGACACTTCGCCTCCCAGTCCTGGCCGACCCTCCGCCGCCCTCCCTTCGCCCACCGTCACCCACCCCTGCTTACTTCCAACCATCCACCGCCGCCACCCCCTTTACCACCTCTCGCCCGGACGCTCCCTCCCCCCTCCTCCCTCGCTGCTGCCTTGTTGCGCCCTTTCCGTTCCCCCTTTTCCTGCGAAGTCTGCGACGACCTCCTCGTGGCTGCTCCTCGTCCTCGCCTCACCCTATGCGTCCCTCCCCCCCCCGCCCTCCTCCTCCTTCCTTCGACTCCCACTCCCCTCCTCCCTACACCCGCCACCCCGCTACACCCGTCTTATTAAACGGGGAAAACTACCAAATGAGATTTCCATCCGGCTCGAAACACCAACACCCGCCTCGCGACCCGATCGCTTAACGCGCGGATCTAGCCGGATCGTTTACTTTTGACGTGACTAAAATTCGATTTGTAACGAGAGACAATACAAAGGGAGAGGAGTGGAGGGAAGGGAGGGAGGGAGAGAGAGAGAGAGAGACTCCTCTCGAGGAGATGTGTCCTCCCTCCAACGGGAAGTCGAAAAGTTTTACTTACCGCAGCGAAGAGGAGCCGATTAATCGGATTAATCGATGCATCTTTGAAAATCCTAATCGATCCATCCCCCTCCTTTTCTTCTTCTTTCTCTCTCTCTCTCTCTCTCTCTCTTCTTCAATTTAATTTCGAGGATGCCTACCTGGTATCTTTCGCGATATTGTGACGAGCGAGCCCTTAACTCTCGTTCGTGTTTGTTTCGCCGGGGGATTGGCTCCGTTAATTGGGGGCGATCACAATCGGGATCGACGTCGACACGATATCCAACGACCTGAGAGGGAAGACTTGTCGCGGCGAGACTTAACGTTGATCGACGATCAACGAGACGGCTAATCCCTTGTCTTTCGCCACCGGGGAAAAAGTGCGTTACGTGCGTACGCCCACCTGCTCCCTTCCTCGAGAAGGCGAAAAAATAAGGAGGAAATACGTTGGACCAGATTTTGCGATCTAACAGGAGACACGAGGAGGGAGGAGGGGGAAGTAGGACTGCCGAAGGTGGAGGGAGGAGGAGGAGGAGGAGGAGGAGGGATGGATACTTGTTGAACGTACGAACTAGACGAATTCCCTCTGTAGCGATGCCATGCGAGGCGAACAAATTGCACGTGCACGTATCCCGCTTCGCGACGGATATCCTGCTGAACGTGGAGGAGGAGGAGGAGGAGGAACGAGAGCGTTTTCCTCCTCGCGGAAACCGGGCCGCCGCGCGATTATAATTATATCGATTTGCGAATAGGTGTGCGCGTATACACCGATCGCTTCCACTCGCTAATCCGATCGAAATGGTCGAGGGTCTCGTGCGTATCTCCTCCCCTCCTCCTGCGTATCAACCGCAATTAACGGTAATCAGCGCCCCAACCCTCGTATCCCGCAATTCGAAAACGCGTATCACCACGCGAACCCTTCGGATTCGTTTCGAATCGAATCTTTCTCGCATTTCGCGCTTGTACACCGCTCGTATTGATGCGATGATTATTTAACGAAAAAAGAAAAAGCACGAGAGAGAGAGAGAGAGGAGGAGTAGAGAAGACGAGAGA